TGGTAATATCAATGATGCTTTCCTCCTTACCATATTAAAACTTAAATAAATGTGTAAGCCAATTTAAAAGGTCAGAAGAAATTGGGAAAGGGAGTTCTTGTAAATGTGAACTGCATAGAGGTCCTTCTTTTATCCGGAAAATATTTGACTGCCTTGGCTTATATTGGGTGATATATATATATCTGAAGACATACCATGTTTCTCAGCAGACTGGGTGGGGTATCACCCCTTATATATTTTTCATTATACTTCACACTTCATGAGAGCAGATATATGGCTTTATCTCAGAGTCTGGATAATGCTGGGCATAGTAAGCAACCAACCAACATATTGGCATGTGTATAGTATATGTAAGAAAATTCTAATTAGCTTCTCTACCACTGGTTTTGCGTTTTCCAGTTGATTTTATTTTCCTTTAATGGCTTAAGTTTTTGTTGTTTTGATAAAGTTTTATTTTGTTGTTGTATAACTAACTGATCATTTGGTTCTTAAGTGATCATTTGGTATATAATTAGAAGATCATTATGATCACTGTGATCAGTAATATTTTTTTATTTCTTGAGCTTTGTTACAAATATAATAAGTACTTATTTAAATAAAAATTTGTATATTGAAGTGGTGAAATGTTCTTTATTTTTATAGCTAGTGTCTTGCAATTTCTTTTATATTTAAATTTGACTTTTATTCAAGAAATACATTCACAGAGCTAAAAAATCAAATGAAACAAATGCTTATTATAATGAAAAATAGCAATTCTCTGCCTTTTGCCTTCCCACTCCAATCCAGCTATACAGAGACAACAAACGTTTGGTATTTATATTCTTAATTTTAAATTATATGTTTATCTCTATTTTCTTCACTTATCAATTTTCAACCTTAATTTTGAGTAATGAAAATGGGAGAGAAAGGCATATAAATAAAAATGTGACATAATATCTAAGCTAATATATACTACAATAGGGTTCTGCATAGGTTTTCTTTGTGTTTATAAAGAACAGGTAACACATTAGATCTTCTAAATTCGTTTTAAGTTTGTATTGTGTAAGCCTCCCTTAGCAGTAAACAAGATAGTGCTCATTCATCTTTTTATATCCTTGTCAACACTGGCAGAATTCAGAAATCAAATTTATGCTATGTTGATAATATAAAGTGACATCTCATTGGTTTTTTAATATGCATTCTTCTGACAACTAATGATTTTTAGCATTTTAAAATATAGTTGACTGGTGCATGAAAATTCTTGAATTGGTGCACCGGAACAAAAGCATGGATGGAGTGTTTGTGTGAACTAATATAAATTCAAAGTAAACATCATTACATAAACAAGGCCGGTCTTTTTTTTCAATAGTTTTATTCATTTCAAACGGGCCGGATCCGGCCCGTGGGCCGTAGTTTGCCCACGGCTATTCTAGAGTCTTATTTATTTCAGCTATGTCATTCATCATTTCCAACGTTTCTTATTTATTGTTTTTTTATTTTTATTCTTTTCATGTTGTTGTAGTTCTCATTAAGTCCCTTATAAATCTCATTAAGTTGCTTGTAGTTCTCATTGAGTTGTCTGAGCACCCTTATTACTATTACCTTGAATTCTTTGCCTGTCAAATTGCTTGTCTCTGTTTCATTTAGTTCATTTTCTGGTGATTCCTCCCTTTCCTTGGGGGTTGTTTCATTGTCTCCCCATTTTTGTTGTCCCTTTATATTTGTTTTTATGTATCAGGTCAAACTGCTATGCCTCCCAAACTTTATAGGGTAGTCTTATGTAATAGGTGCTTTGTGGGATCCAGTGGTGCAGTCTCTTAGATCTCCTGAGCTGAGTGCTCTAGGAAATCCCCTTGCTTGGATTCTCTTGTTGTAGTTCGGTCTTGAACGTCATTGTCCCATTCATGGATGGAATCTCTTCTTAGGCTGACTGACCATGTGGATCCCTGCTGAGCACATTACGGGAACTATTGTGGAGATGCTGACAGACAGAACAAAATACACCACTAAACACAAAACAAAAGAAACAAGACAAAAGCATACACAGACCCTTACAGCAACACAAAAGCAACCACCAGAGAAGAAGAGAGAATTAGGAAAGAGAAAAGTGAGCAAGAATGATAGAAGACAAGAAAGAAAGAAAAATACAAGGAGAAAAAATAACAAAACAGATAAAAAAATCACAAACAAAAAAAGGGGGAGGAGAAAAGGAATATGTGTGTGCAGAGCTAAAATAAAGGAAATAAGAATAAAGATTTAGGGGAATAAGGAAAGGAAAACTGTTTAAAAAAGGAGGAAGAAAAAAATTTGAAAGTATAATAGCATGCAGATAGACCCAAAATAAGAAAAAGAATAAAAGATGAGAAAGCAGTAGAAAAAGAAAAGAGAGAAGAAAAGATGAGTAGGAAAAGGGAAGAGAAAAATAGATATAGGAACAAAATTATAGAAACTAGAATAATAACAAATCAATAAAGCAGATAGGTAAAGAAGATAAATAAAAAGGAGGGGAAATAAAGGAAAGAGAAAAGATAAAAAAAGAAAGAGAAAAAAAGTGAAGGGATGTTTCACTTTAGTCCTCAGGCTGATGCTCTATCCGCTGGTGAAGGGGTGTTCCACTTTAAAACTCTTTAATCTTATTGGAATTAAATTTGTATAAGAAGCTAGTTTTATTTTTTGTCATATTCCAAGACAATTGTTCTTTCTCCATACAATGAGTCAACGCCAACCTTTTCTTTTACTTTGTGATATTACCCTTCTATATATAACTCATTGATATGAGGATTTATCTCTGATCTCTATATTCCTGCACCCGCACTGGAAACCTAATAGTTGCCAATAGTTGATTCCTTCTCTTTACACTTTATTTTTTAATTTTATTTTGATACTGGGGGTCTGGTACATGAATTCGTGCACCAGTGGTGTCCCTTGGCCTGGCCTGTGGGATCGGTCAGAAACTGGCTCTCTGACATCCTCTGAGGGGTCCTGGATTGCGAGAGGGCACAGGCCAGGCTGAGGGACCCCACTGGAGCACAATTGGGGCCTGGGAGGGACGTGGGAGGTTGGCCCCCCAGGGTGGGACATAGGAGGGCTCCAGGGCATGTCCGGCCCTTCTCACTCAGTCCCGATTGGCTGGACCCCAGCAGCAAGCTAACCTACTGGTTGAAGCATCTTCCCCCTGTTGGTCAGTGCACGTCATAGCAAGTGGTTGATCAGCCTTAGCATATTATGCTTTGATTAGTTGAAAGGATGATTGGACGACCGGACACTTAGCGTATTAGGCTTTTATTATATAGGATAAATGTACCTCTTATAGCATATGCTTTTAAAACTGGTTTTGTGATTATTTTTTAGACATATAATTTATAGAAAAATTAGGAAAATTATATCCATGAATATGGGAATAATTTAGGGACAGTTACATCCATGAATATGAGGGAAAATAAGCCATATTGAGTTAGGAAATAATTTAAACTGCTACATTTTAATAAGATCTCTGTTTCTTTTGGTTTTATATATCAGGAATGATATAATTATGGACAATAATCAACACAAAGAAAGTCAATAGTGGAGCCCGCTCATGTGCAAAATTTATTTCGTTGAGTGTAGTAGTTAGGTATTTATGAATAAATTGCTGTGATTTCTGACAACATACAAAAAAAATCTACCTAAATTGTGTTTTCAAAAAAAGATAAATATGACAACAGAGGCACTAGACAAAGAATGCTATAATGTAACGGAATTTGAATTACTGTAATTTCTGTGTTTGAATTACCTTAATACTATGATTAACTGAAATAATGGTTTTAATTTATGTTTTGTGGAATATTTCAGGCTTTTTGGAATGCCCCCAAAGTATCTAGGGAAAAAATAGTAGTGAGACTGAGTATTTGGATTTCAGATTCAACCAGAATGCTTGATTTTTATCTATTTAAATAGTCTACCCTTCTGTAAGATTTTATTGGAAGATAGGAGTTTTAGCCAAAAATGTTTGGAAACCATTATAATAAAATTAGTGAAATGTCTAAATGTTAAACAAAGATGGCATATGATGGCATTCATCTTTTTAATGCCTATGGCAGATATCGCTAATTGAACACAATATTCTTTCCTGCTGCAGATTCAGATTTAGTTGCCATACTGCTTTCCATATGGTCACTACCAGTCAATCACTATAGGTGTGTGAGTCAAAACTCATTTACATCTATACACTACTAACTCCTATAATTTTATTGGACCTTCAGACACTTATTTTAGTCTAAGAAAGGTATGATTTGAATCATTA